AATGATAAAAAATCATAACAATACATATACAAATAAAAAAAGACAAAATCACTTTGAAAAGTGGCATATTTTTAGAGGGTATGTAAGGTTTGTGACGAATGCGATCACCATTCACATCTATATTGTAAGACATGCAAAAAAGTAGCAGAGGGAATATATAAGCGATGTGAATGTGAAAATTTTATAAGAGAATTTTTACATTTAATGCATTGATATTGAATCGCATCCATCTGTCTCACGGAATGAGGATGCACATCTGCTAAACATTGACAATGTAATTTCTTTATATAGTAATGTAACGAATTTTCTATTCTTTAAAAAAGCGATCACAGGTGTGGTATCCGAAAATACTAAAATTTTGATTGGTTACGACATCGCGTACAATTAGTGTCATTGATTTCCAAGATTTATCAAGTTCTATCTCAAATTTAGTTAATTATTTCATGCTACATAACGATAACGATAAAAAATTCATGCATAGAAATCAAATGTATCACAAAGTCGTAATAATGTAACGGTTTAAAGGGGTGAGAAACAGTGTCTTGCAACAAAAATTTTTTTTACTCGTTCTATTTCGAAGTAATTTTTCGAGCATGTCAAGTGTAGATTTCTCAGAATTAAGATATCCAGGTTAGTCTATTATCTTATACCTATTTCCTATTTTTACTTGTTAAAAAAAATTAAGGATACAAACTTTTGCCATTCAGATTACTGGACTCGGGATTTTAACACTTGGGGAATAAACGACTGGGATACTTATTGGATCGAAAAGCAACCACAATCATTATCTATTACTAAACATAATTCTCATACAGCCTTAGCCGACGAGTTGAGATGTTTGAAAAAAATATATACAAGTACTCATCCTGCTTATAATAAAATCCAAAAATTGCTGAAATATTTGCGGGTATAATTTATAGTAATTTTATTAATTATCGGGTGGTGTCAGTGTACTCTATGGCTAATCCAACAGCCGAGTGTTGAGAAAGTTTTTGCCGTGTGTAAAACAAATGAGTAGTGCCGTGTGTACGTGGCCATAGAAACATTGGGCTGAGCCGAGTGTTCAGACAAGAAATGTTTCCTTGAGCTAAACTCATGGGCCGAGTGTCAATGAGGAAGGGCCGAGTGTCCGTGGCTTATTGTGAGCTTCCTTCCCAC